ATCCTACTTCCGTAGTGATACTGCCTCGGAAACCCAAGGAGGGGTCGCTATGAGTCGGGGCCGACTCGACGGCACATAACAACAACAACAACAACAAGGAATCCATTACTGAATATAAACCAATAGCAATGGATTAAGTAATGTATAAACTAAATTTTGTCATCATTGTTGATTTTCCAAAGTATTCTTACATGGAAACTTAAGGAATATATGTTTTCCCAGAAGATGAGGGGACAAAACAGAACTGCACTGTTGAAGTTAAGTGCCAGTATGAGTAAGATAGGCCACACTAACAACAACAACAAAAACAGTGAGTTTATCTGGTTATAACACAAATCAAAATATACATAAAAAAGGCAAATATTTCCATGACAATGAAGATAAAAGATAATTAAAACCAAAGAAATAAATGATACAAGTACAGCGGGGACTAGCAGAGCCTTTCCTGAACGCTACTATGAAGGAAAGCAGTAACAAATGAAAGATGTATAGAAAAAATGATTATAACAAGTCATTTCAAACAAGTACATGAAAAAAATCAAAGAGAAATATAAAGAAATAAAAATGTCTAAGCTATAAAAGTAAAACATAAATGAATAAAACATACTGACAAGTAAGGTGTAAAACTGAAGATGTTCCCAGCAGAAAAGTTCTTGAGGAAAACCTCACCATTTTTGGCTACTTCTGCTATGATGTTAGCTACTTTGGCTGTGCAGGATGACTGCGGAGTCAAGAGATTTGCAAATAGCTGAAGTATTCCACTTCCTTGGATTTTTTCACTTGTTTCCATATCTGAAAGAAACGCACACAGAGAGTTTCAATGAAAATCTTCAACTCTAACACTGACAACTTTTTCTACAATGAAGATTTTATTTAAACTCTTCAAGAATTCTCTCCATCCATAATAGAAATTAGCTTCAGTACACACTCACATGTATGGATTTATATACTATTTAAAAAAAAAAAAAAAAAACTTCAGCCGTTTTTATCTTGGGTTTCAATCTGCACAAAACACTAACATATAATTTTTTGTCAGTCTACGGTCAGACTATAAAAGAAGTCTTTCTGAATATACCATTTGCATACCAAACTTACGTTTTAATGCTAGTTCCAAATCTTTCTATTCAGAGTAGGAGTGCTTTTCAAACCCACCAGCCATTCCTCAGAAGGTAAGTTGGGCAATCTACTTCTGTAGTGATACAGCCTTGGAAACCAAGGAGGGGTGGCTATGAGTCGGATCCGACTCAACAGCAGTGAGTTAGTATGTTTTAATATCTTAGATCTCTAAGAATTTATTATTTTATATAAAATCTACTGTTTCCTATAATCCTTTAACTATTTTTTAAAACATATGGCAATTATAATGAGCAAGAAACTCAACCTATCCTTTGATATGGGATGAATGAGGTTAGCGGAAGAAGCTACATAGTTCCATATGACCATTCTGTTTTTCATACAATTCATTCAAACAACCAGTAACAAAGAAAGCAAATGTAAAACAAAACTCTATTTGGTGACATAGAAATTCAAGAGGCTTCTTCTTTCCTTTCCTTTTTTAAAAAATACCAACAGGTTATGAAACTAAACCCCTACTTTTGCTGCTTATTTTCAACATCAACAACAACAAAAAATAATAATAAATTACTTAAAAACAAAAACCAAGCCCCTTCACATACCTGTTATCTGGAGCACCACCTATTACAATAAAAGTTAATAGGAGTACCTGGAATGATGGGGAAAATAAAGACAAGCTCAAGGAAATAAAATTTCAAATTATCACTGTATTCTGAACAACTAAAGAGAAATAACATGTTTAAAAACAGAGACTGTAAAGTTCATTAAAATATTCAATTTAAATTAGATTCTATGTGTACCTCCTTTAGATGCTCTGGATATACACACAGATAATGTTGTTGTTGTTATATGCCATCGAGTCAAACCCGACTCATAGCGACCCCTCCTTGGGTTTCCGAGGCAGTATCACTACGGAAGTAGGATTGCCCAACCTTCCTTCCGAGGAGTGGCTGGTGGGTTTGAACCGCCAGCCATCTGGTTAGCAGGCAAGTGTCTTAGCCACTATGCTACACAGATAATAGAGAACCCTAAAAATTTCCTGTTAAGTAAATAGCAGCTTTGGGAGCTGTGGTGACATAGTGCCTAAGGCACTTGACTGCTAACCAGAAGGCTGGCTGTTCAAACCCACCAGCCACTCCTCAGAAAGAAGGTTGGGCATTCCTACTTCCGTAGTGATAACTGCCTCGGAAACCCAAGGAGGGGCCGCTACGAGTTGGGGCCGACTCGATGGCAAATAACAACAACATAAGCGATAGAGAGTAGGAAAGTCATTTTTAATAGAAAGTCCACACACAAAAAAAAATCATGTGTTTCTTTATACTAAGTGCCGATTGTTTAGTGTTGTGGTTTTCAAACTGTGGGTCAAGGTCTACACTCATTTTAAAAGCTTACAGGAGTCAATTCAACATCTTCTCCTTCACATTTAGGTGCAGTCATAAAAATGTCTGAGTATGAATACAAATTATAGGCAGCTGGCTGTCCTGGAATTTTTAAGGACCCATGTATGAAAGGCAATGGCTACTCTAAAACAGTATGTGTGGAAACAGCTGCAGCAGTACTGTCCATCACAGTTGCCCTTGCAGTTCTGCAAGCATTCATTCAGTCCTCACACCCCTATGTCCGACACTCCACCTAACCTCCTGATATCAAGTAGGGATCTTCTCCTTATGAAATTTTCAGTGATATAAAGAAAAAGAAAACTAGGCTTTTGTACCAGAGAAACCTGAAGCCAGCTTTGACACCATATGGGGAGAAGTTAAAGCACAACTCATATAACTTCTCAAGGCCAATCATCAGGTAGGAGAAGGGATGAAGTAATTGAAATGGGAAGAAATTCAAAATTTAATATTATGGCTTTAAAAAGGCTGAAGTTCTCAGCAAAGCTACCAAGGAAATACATTAAAATAATTAGCTTTACAATTTAATACCAAAGGGGATTTTCAAATACACTGCTAAAATAAGCTGCATTTATAATATCATGTTAATATATAGGCTCATGGTTATAAATTAATAAAAAGCATATGATAACCAATTTTCAGTAAACCCCAAGTTAGAAACTAAAAATGACTGCTACTGCTACCACTCTAGTATATTGCAAATATATTCAGATTAGACTGATAGTACAATTTTAAAGTAAATTTTTCAATTTTACTTAAATTTACTGGAATAATAAAGAACTGGTGTCTTCATAGTCTGTTGTTTGTTTCTTTTAAAGAGATTTTTAAGCGTTCTTGATTTATAAAACATATGATTTTTATCATATGACCTTATTTATGGTATCAAGAAAGCATGATCTAACATCCTATCTCATAACCAAAAAGCAAACACTGCCGTCAAGTCGGATCTGACTCATAGCAACCCCTCTTTGGGTTTCCGAGGCCTATCTCTACAGAAGTAGATTGCCCATAACATACTACACAAAACACTGTTCCACCTCCTACTTTGGCGAGTAGTGACTGGCCTATTAAAAGCTTGCAAGCAGCCATCTAGATGCAACAATGGGTCTCTCCTCATCCAGAGCAAAGAAGAATAAAGAAAACGAAAGATTCACGGAAACAATTAGTCCTCACAACTGGTACACCATGTGATCCTCAGCCTACAGGACTATGAGACCAGAATAACTAGATGGTGCCTGGCTACCACTGTCAACCACTCAGTGGGGGATCTATGTAGGAGATCCTGGATAGAGAGGGAAAACAATGTGGAACAAAACTCAAAATCATTTCGGTGGCAGGGAGGGAGACCAGGTTTGCTGGTCTGATAGAGCGTGGTGGAACCACTGAGACTATGGTCCCCAGCTGCCCTTCAGGTCTGGAATTGAACCCAAACCTGTGGCTTCTAGCCAAATAAAAGACAGGCATAAGAGTTGAACATGTACCTGAGGTAGATACATCCCTTGGAGAGAACAATCATGGGAGAAAGAAGGGCTATTTATGCACAGGGAGACAGTTCAGAGGTCAGGAGTGCATGGAGGGATGGACATAGGGAAGAGGTAACTATCGGCAGAAAGTGGGAGGGGAGGTTTTGTATTGGGGTAACTGTCAATGTCATCAGACAACGTGTATGTGAACTGCTCTTTGGAAAGTGAATTTGCTCTGTAAACTCTCACCCAAATCAGAATTAAAAAAAAAAAAAGTGGATTGCCCAATCTTCCTTCCGAGGAATAGCTGGTGGGTTTGAACTACTAGCCTTCTGGTTAGTAGTCAAAAATCTTAGGCACTAAGCCACCAGAGCTCCTTTTTTTATCAGTTTAGTTTATTGCTCTATGACAACTCTCATTTAGAAGAAATGCTAATGACAACACCTTGACCAGACTTTCTGAATTATCAGTGAAAGATATTTTTATTTTATATATTTTTATATTTACATTTTGCAGATCTAAGAACTGAGTCAAAACAACTAAGTGAGAAAAGAGATTTATAGCAATTTTGGAAAATTATATTGAGACAGGGACTGAAGGAGAGAAAGAGATAATACAAATTTAAAACATAAGAGGAATATGGAATATGCTTAGTATAAGAAGATGAAAGAAAGAAACCAGTAATTCAAAAATTCATGTCTGTGAAGGAGCTCTGGTGGCATAGGGCTTAAGGCATTTGACTACCAACCAAAAGGTGGGTGGTTTAAATCCACCAGCCACTCCACAGAAGGAAGACTGGGCCATCTACTTCCATAAAGATTTACTGCCTCAGAAACCCAAAGGGGGTCGCTATCAGTAGGAATCAAATTGATGGCAGTGAATTTTACTTTTTAAAAAAAAAAAATGAAACAGTCTCTCCCCTAATTATGATCTCAAATCTCAAACAAACAAAAGGAACATGAGGAGCAAGAAAGAAAAGGATTTATACAGCTACTGAAAGGAAGGAGGACAAAACAAAGATCGATTTACACAATGAATCACCATTAGAAACAGAATTTGAAATGATATCTAAGAGGTCTTACTAAAAGATGAAGTTAAGACTCACTTTATGCAATTACAGTAAGTGATTTTGATAGTCTTACAGTCATTTCAATTCCAGGGATAATGTCAGCTGTGGGAAAATTTACGTGTTTGCAAGTCATCATTAGAATAAGCAGAGAGATACGTTTAGCTATTATTTTTTAAAAATTACTACTAACTAGATCATGTAAGAAATTACTAAAAAATAAGGAGTTGTATGGTTAAGAAATAAATGCAAGATATTTACTGAGAACGTGAACATGAGGAAGAATTTTATTTAGTTGTGGTAAAAGGAGACTATATAACTAGAATTGCTCACCTAAAAGTTGAAATTAGTTACTGAAGATATGGTCACTACAATAAATATATAGTGACTCACTGCAATCTAAGCGACTGAAGATACAGTAAAACGTAATAAAAGAACACTATTTCCAGGAAAAGACCACACTCCATTCTGTCAAACACTTCGAAGGAAAATATGAAGTGAATAAAGTCAGAGATTGGAGATCTACAAAATTTGCTGTATTCTTTAGCTATTAATTTACCGTTAACAGTCAGCCTACTAGATTACACACTGTTTCTCAAATAAACAAGTCGTTTTTTTTTTTAAATTTTATCACTGTTGGGAATATACACAGTATAACACACCAATTCAACAGTTTCTAAATCTACTATTCAGTGACAATGATTACATTCTTTGAGTCGTACAACCAAGGAGGGCAGAGAGGTTTTGAACAACTAAGGGAGACGAACATGTCTCTCAGTTTATCATACTGTA